TTTGCACACACCTAGATATATGAACAATATTTAGGAATCAGAAGAAAAAAGTGCAAAAATCTTATAACGAATTCGCGGGCGCGCAAAAACCTCCGAGGACACTCATTCTTCCCAAATATGCATTTTTATCGACGTATTTCGGTACTTTGTACTGTTACGATCGACCTTAAATTTTGCACACACCTAGATATATGAACAATATTTAGGAATCAGAAGAAAAAAGTGAAATAAATCTTATAACGAACTCGCGGGCGCGCAAAAACCTCGGAGGACACTCGGAGGACACTCATTACCCGGAGGACACTCATTAGGGTGACCGCATGTAGGGCGCTGCCATATTTGTTTTTCCCAGTCAGACCACGAGGAGCCCCAAGTAGTCGATAAATCTATATACAATAAGAGAAGGTGAAACTAATGGATAAAGACATTAAATCTCTGTGAGAAGACAGAACAGGCGTCATTGATGCAAAAATTAAATTGTGAATACACTTTTTTTGCAATCATCAACGATACAAAAAATCTACATACGGGAGACCGGGGCAAGTTTGGCTACCCCTGAAATTTTGGGTTTTGAGCTTATATTTACAACTTTAAGGATCTTAGAACTTTAGTTGGCTGGGCACTCACACGAAAAAAATAGGGAGGAAAACTCTAATGTAAAATTTCTCAACAGGAAAAAAATACTTTTGGACGGTAGAAAAAAATCATGATGTCGCTTCTAGATATGCGAACTTTCTGTAAACGGAATTGTTACTTTTTTACGGTCAAATGTGTAACACACTGACAGCTTTAAATGATATACATAAAAGCCAAGCCAAGCACTCATTACCATATTGCTGTACGATAATCATTTATTGAAATATCAATTTGGGCATGGATAGGTTCGGCCAATGATATCGTGGCAAGTTCGGCCCATGTAACACATAACACGTCGTAAAATTGGCGGTAAAATTTGAAGTTGCATGCTTTATGACATCATAATTAAGCTGATTACACTGGGGGCCAAACTTACCCGAATGCCTGTCCGAACTCTCCCATGGCGGGCCTCGCTCGACCATCCGATCTTCCGACAGGGAAAATTAAATAATGTTCAAAAACGAACGTGCTGCCATACTTCCCAGAATGGACTTTAATAAAAATGAGCCGATCTTGCCCCGATCCCCCTATTGTTAATGTCGGTGTTCATCTCATTAAAGCTTATGTTTTATTGCTATTCCTCGGCTAGCCGACTTTAAATAACGTTTATCTTATCTCATTCTGAATGCGGTATTGTGAATCAGTAGATATCAGAGATCAACAAAAGCTACGCTCTTTTAAGGCTTAACCTTTTCATATTATGGTACTTTTGTAATGCAAATGTGTTCGCATTATTCTATTTAAGTTATCTTCAAATTGGAGGAAGTAAAGCGAATAATAATCCATTCGTCGAACAAGTAGACACACCCATGTGCAAAGTCGCGTGCTATTTACCAGGCTATAGAGGCACAGACTGCGGTACATACTGTGTTTGAGTAAAGGATTAACGGCAGTATCGTCAAGTACCTGCACCGTAACTCGGTTATAAGTGCATTCTAATTTTGTGTAAATATTTATTATTTCCAGACGATGTTTTGACATGTTACTCACAGGTAAGAGTTATAGGTAATTAGCATATCTACGTATTCACAGATAAGATACATAGGGGTGTAAAATATTTGAAAACTGCATGTTACTGTCTGTAAGCTAGAAGTTACGTTGAATGTGATTGAAACAGACTTGAAGGTATTGTTTCTTAATCGGAAAAAGTAAAACACTGTTTTTTGGGTTTTTTTTCGCCGAATGATGTTTTACACCTTTTTATTTACATATTTAGATGGTATATATACTTGAAATACGTTAATTCTTAGATTCCACCGATAATTACCAAATACATACATCATGGCCCAAGTGTAAACGCAATGATTTTAATCCACTGAGTTAGCTAATGTTTATGCAGGCCTTGCAAGTCTTTGTCAAGGCTCACCTGAAAGCAGTATATGATTACTAGGTCCGACCTTATTTAATAAACAACTTTGGTCCGACCGGTTCAACCGCTTAAACGAAAACGGCCCTAGGCCTCCGTATATTGGTCGATATTGGCCCTATCGGCCGCCCTAGTTCCATTTGTCCCGAAGGATAATAAAAACCTTATCAGTCGATCTGCAATCAAAAGTTCGGACACCGTCTGGACAGTTTGTCCTCCGGGCAAAAAAAGTGAATACTTGGCCGTAATCATAACTGTACCACCTGTTTACCTCTTGCTATTAGCTAAGGCATAATTGCATAACAGGAATCTCAAGATGTCAAAGTATAGTTAGCTTTATCATTCTACTTATGTGTTAGGAATTGTCGTTTTTCAGCCGCAAATATATGAAGAAATACTTGGTATATGACTTACCATAACACAAACCTTCATGCATACTTGTCATGTACCTATTTAAACGCTTACATTCTGGCCACCCTTTCTATTCACAAGGTACCCAGCCAGACTTAATATGCAACCAATTGGGTGTGGCGTTAACCTGATACTATTACCGATGGGCCACCAACCAGCTTTGACATCGAGACATTCTTATAATTCAGTTGTATACGGTCTTTACTGGTTGCACATGTACAGTACTTGGGCTATATCAAATTTAAATTTAAATAATCACACATTTTTATTAACAATATTTGTCTTTCAAAATTACTCAGGGACGTATAGTGTCCCTGAACTACTTTATCTTCCATTTAAATGACATTCAATATCATGTGTATGTGCATGAGTGTAGGTGTGATGGAGGCGATGTGTTTGTGTATTTACGTTCTTGTGATAGCCCGGGTCTGACGCGGACTTTACAGTGCTACGTTGAGCAGGGAATAACCACTACCGGGACATTGGTACAACCAACTGCCTTCCTTATCTGGGCGAAAGTTCAATATTAAAGCTAAATGTGAGACATTGCAAAACAAGGCACTAACAATCTAAACCAAGTTAAAAGCATCCTAAATATTGCAATGTAATCGGTTTTGTAGGTGCTAGCAATGACACGTTAGAAGACGACTGTCTGAGCTCCACCTCTCAACAACTCGTAGTGTTTACTGTAATATTGGTCCTATACCGCCGATAAACGGCTCATTCAAATTTTGTGTAATCATCTAAAGAATAATACAGGTCCATTTACATTTGCCAACTGAGCTATAGGCCAGTAATATTTACAAAGTATGTAGATAATCTGTGACGTCATTTTTGTCTCGTCCACACACATTCATGTTAGTGTGTACATACCAAAGCTTTAAGGTAGGCGTAGCATTTGCTTGCAGAGCGATAACACTTACCTGGACAGTTTACTCCGCTGTCTCACTTGATGTCACATGCACATATCAAACATTTGTGGACTACGTTCGTCAGGTTACTGATAACAGGATTTGACCTACGTTCATTTATGACGCGGGTACCCTATATTGAAAAAACCTGAACGGATTTAGCTAACAATACATCTACAGTAAATGCAACAAATTTGGGAATCAAAATTATACCTCTGAATATACCAGAAGACACCTTTCTAACAGTGACGTCAGATGTAAAAGGTAAGATGCGGAAACAATTGCCATAATCATTATAGTGGGCGAGGCTCTAATTTAGATATCTAAATCATTTATATACACTAACGTTACAGATAGGTTACGGTAGGGTTGACATGTATGTATTTAGACAATACTATCCATGACCTTTGGATATCCAAACAGATATTTGATTAGGTCATTTTCAATTCAAGTGAAGCAAGGGACTACATGTACTTACAAAGTGGATAAAAAACACGTGTTAATTATGAACTGTGAAACTAATACATGGATGCAAAGAATGTCTAATGACAGAGACTTTACACGATTTTTATTGCTGACTGTCTAAAACCTCATAATTTATGGAAATTAGCCATGCGTCAACCAAATCATGACAATATCGGATATATAATGAAATTGATTGTATCGATACGTGTAAGTAACGTACAACTTTTATGTCATCATTGTGGCTATTTCTACACAGATTTTGTATCTCAAGTGATTCTGCATTGTTCTGTAACAGAAAATCTTCGTGACAATTTATGGTGTAAACCATCAGACGAAAAAGTTACCAAGTACATGTATGACAAATTACATCCTGATAAGGCTGTCAACACATACAATAAAATGTTATCGCACGGAATGTCTGTTATCTTACTCATTTAAATTGAAATCAACTATTCAATATCCTTTACCGAATTTTATAAATGTTTTAAGTTAAAAAGGAAGTCATTATGGATTATTTTTCTAATGCTTACATTTCTAATGTATTTTATCTGCTTCAACTTCTCAAATGAAACTCCAAATCAGTGGAAAACGCAGACGGAGTCCGGTAGGGGACAATGGGACAAAAGGGGACAATCAATTTCATTACATCGAAGGATAAATAGGCTACCTTTTTATAAAGCCTTTTTGAGAAATAATCTGGACATCTATCTAAACAAGGGAAATGACGAAAATATACAGATGTCCTTAATTCCTTTTGGAGACCCTGTCAAGGCCCCAATACTCACAAAATTGCAACTAACCCTTTTTTTCATCAGGAGTGATTAATGAACTTCACGACTTGTTTTGGCGTTGTAATTAGGGCTTTACTATTCGGGGACAGTTCTGGTCATAGTGTCCGATAACAACATACCGATGCTCTGGTGGTACAGTTTTTATGTCTATTTGTAACGTAGGTGGTACAAAAAGAAATATAAAAAGTGTAACGCGGTACAATAAGGATAGAAGCTTTCATATATCTTTGTACCGGGCAAAAGTGTACCACGGTACAGAAAGATATGAAAATTCAAATAATTTTGTCGGCTGACATCGGCTGTTGTACATGTGAAAGTAAAGAGTTTTTTGTAAAGTTATTTACAATCTTTATGTACCACGCATGGTACTAAATTATTTGAATATTCATATCTTTGTGTACCATGGTACACTTTTATATGGTACACAAAGATTTGAATTTTCATATCTTTGTGTACCATATTAAAGTGTACCGTGGTACAAAAAGATATAAAAATCCATATCTTTTTGTCAGGCTCTTGTCGGCCATCGTAGAAAACCGATAAAACAAACTACTGATAAGAACTCATATATGTTTATCCTTTAATAAACAGAGGTAGGGAAAGTAGATTTCTTTCATTTACATGTGTGTAAGATTAATATAATCTTCAATGGGTTTGTTCCGTGGAAAGGGATATTTCAACCCGAGTGTAAGAGTTTCGAAAGCCTCATGCTGGCCACGGAAACAATACAATGACGTCACGTCGACAATTCATTATCATGACGTTATAGCGCGTGTCAGTTGTCTTTCCCTACCCCATGTGAGATTAATAGAATCTTTCCCCCCCTTGGGGGTGAGACAGGGTAATCTTCCCCCGAGGGTTGAGTTCACCCTGTCTCACTCCCAAGGGGTTGAATGATTATTTTTCTCTTACCCTGTTTACCCTTGTATTTATATAGACGTTACATCAATGCAAGACAATGTTGATGTGATGCGGCTGAATTGTCGACCTGACGTCATTGTATTGTTGCCGTGACGTCATGGTATTGTTGCTATGACGTCATCCTGTGAAGTATGTGTGAAAAGTTATCCAGGGTAAGCAAGGAATGTAAGAAACTTTTATCTTACACCCCATTTCACGTGACGTGGCGTCACGAATTTGGAAATATCCTATGCCGCAATGCAAAAAAAGGCGAACAGATGAAATTTACAAGAGGTTCAAGGGCCTTACCTGAGTTATATTATTGGTACTCACTGGTAGCTCAATTTCATTGTTGAGATGTGATGTGGATATCAACATGTAAACAAAGTGAAATATAATACTTGTCATGTCACCAAAGGATAAGAACTTGAAAAAATATATTCAAATACATTAATTTGCTATTCAGATATATATGAATATCTATTGTTATTTAGCCCATTTTCCTCTTTGGTCAACCCCTGGAAAAGGTCAGTGCCCACTTGTATAAAACATCTCAACTCTTGAGATTTCCTTAAGTCTAAGATTTCCCATAGACAATACATTGCTTGATTTTCCTTAACTTTAAGATGTTTTATAGAAGTGGGCCCAGGATCTTAGTTTCCGATACTATTTGATTTCAATTTCATTACAACTATTCCAACCAAGTTTGAATTAGGTCTTGCTGAAAATGGACAAGATATGGTTAGAAGTGTTATTTCCCTATATAAACTATAGTCAATGTCACCAACTCCCAAAGGGAGAGCAGATGACCTGACCTGGGAGATAATGAAATTTACAATTTAGATAATGCACCTAAGGACATTTCTGAGGAGTGTTTATTTGTAAAACATCTGAATCTGATGAAGAAGATTGTTAAACTTTTAACCATTTTCCGATCCTCCAGCTCATGGGGATGGGGCAGGATCTTATTGTTTCATACCATCTAATTGGCATCTGGCATTATAATCATTTCAAACAAGTTTGAATAATTTCCTGCTGAAAATGGACAAAATATACCAAAAAGTGTTATTTCCCTATATAAACTAAAGTCAAATTTACCCCTTCCCCAAGCGAGAATGGATGGCCCGGGGGTAATGCAATTTGAAAAA